AGCTTGCTCCCAAAGCTCTCCCCCCCCCCCCCCCCCCGTCGGGTAACAAACTGAGAGATGAAAAACTTCGTCATCATGCATTGGTTGAAGTCCACCCCCACGATGTCTTTCCAGCAGAGGGAGTCCCCGGCGAACTCGGCGCCGGGCGCCAGTCCGGATCGTACTGTGATGTAGATCTTGATAACGTCCATAACCACGATCTTGTACAGGCATAGCGTTCTCTCAGACACGTATCCTTCTTTCTTGTCGATGTCCATCATCACCTCCCTCAGCGCGAGGTTCCCAGGGAGTTTTGTGCTGTCCGCGCCGATGGCGTTAATCAGCTGCTTGAGGCTTGTCGACAGTCCCTCGATCGTTTCGCAATCCGTGGTGGCGACCTCCCAGAATTCCGTCGCCCAGTTGTTCATCCTGCTCCGTATTCCCTCGTTAGCGATCGGGTTGTCGATAAATGTCCCAAGCATTTCGTTGTTGACATTCCACAAATTGTCGAGCAGCTGTCTCCTCCGCTTGTGCGACGACCTGTCCCAGAAGTAGGCAATCCCTTCCTGTGTCCGCCTCGTGGTCCTTTGAGCGCTTCCACTAACGTCGCTCCCCCCGTTAGGAGGCAGCACCTGTCGGTTTCCGATCGTTTGGGCTGCTTGTGGGGTGTCGGTCGTCCGCGCGGCTTTGGTTATCGGTAGCGCGCCCCCTGCCTGGAAAACGTCCTCCTGCTGGAATCCGGTCGTTGGCAACGTCGGTCGTTGGAAGCCGTTGGCCGCCTGCGGGATATCGATCGTCCGCGCGGCACTGGTTACCGGCGGCACGCCCTTTGTTTGGAGGACGTTATCCGCCTGCTGGCCGTCGGTTACCTGTGGAGTTACACCCATTTGCCATCGAAAGCCGTCGGCCGCCTGTGCGACGTCGGTTGTCCGCCGTGCATCGGCCGCCTGTTGGGCGTATCTGGTCGTTGGTAACTCGTCGGCCGCCCACAGGGCCCCGCCGGTCCACGGTCGAAGGGTGTCTGTAGTCCGTGAGACGTCGGCCGTCCGTAGGGCTCCGCTGGCTGCAAGCTGGAAGTCGTCCGTCACACGCCGAGCGTCGGTTATCTGCCAGATATCTGCCGTTTGCTTGGGAGTGTTGATGGTCTGCAAGGTGTCGGTTTTCCATCGACTTTTAGCCGCCATTGGGGTGACGAACGTTGACAGTCCGTTGGCCTCCTTTCTGCCTTTGCCTTTGTCGACGCCGGTTGTCTTGAAGGTTTCCGACTCGTTTTGGTCGTTAACGTTAATCGCCTTCCAACTCCTCGGGCCGCTTACCTGCGCGGTTTTCGAGCTGCCCTCGCCGTTGTCTGCCTTGGTCGTCACCTGGCCGCCCACGTCCCCCGCTCGTTTGGTGCCTATATCGCCCTTGTCGACATCGGAGTTAACCGCGTTCCGTGCTTCCTCAAGATGCTTCCGTCCTTCAGCCGTCATAAACAGGATGTCGTTCAACCTGGTTTTGTCTTTCCCTTTCAACGTTTTAACTCCGTCGTATTTGTCCGCCATGGCTGCGACTTTCAGGATCGCTCCGAAGGCTTTCTCCTTCTCGTCCAGCTCCCCGGCCTGATCATGTGGGAGTATTTTCTTGCTTCCTTCCGGTGCGCGGACATCACATTCAAATCCTCTTTGTCGTAGGCTTCTGCTGATTTAACGCCGAACTTCTGCTTATCGGGTACCGCTGGGTGTTGGGTGTTCTGGGTAATGCCATTACGGCTGGGATCTCCGCTCACAGGGTCGACCGCCCCGTCCTCAGCACGCTGTCGACAATCCAAAGCGCTGTGGTGCCGTCGTACCATGGGAAGTCCTCACGCTTCGGCTGTTTTCTGAGCATCCCCCTCGTGCCCGACTCGTCCAGTCTACTCAGGAGATCATTCCATCTGCCTTGGCGACTATCACACGGGGATCACCCCCTTGACAAGGCAACCGGCCGAGTGGGCCAACGGAGGCCTATCAGGAGGCCATGAGGCAAAGGAGCGTTCTGGTTGGGCCGGCTCAAGGCATCACAAGTCCCCCGCAGACGCCAACCGCCCTCGGCGGAGAGCGCGGCAGAACCTACCCCTCTTAGATACGTACCCTAGGACCCCCGTGTAGGCCGACAGAAGGCCTATATAAGGAGGGTCTCCCTCTCGAGGTCCCTCTCGGAGATTCTGATTCCTTAAGCATCTCCTTCTGAGGCCTTGAGAGATTATCAATACATTGAGACTCCCTCCAAGCCGATCATTGATCCCCTTGTAACAGCGACTGCCTGGTTCCTGTGCCAACACCTTGCCAAGCATTATCCGTGAGTTGACTTCCATCCATCGCAGCGTGTTGGTGGTCGGGAGGATCTTCCTGTCGGCCGCGATCGCCTCCTTTCATGCCTGCTTCTTGTTCTGTCTTCCGGCGAAGGTCGCCACGATAGGCTTGACTCCCTTCAGGTCGGTGAGTGCTGGGTATGCCTTGTGATGGGAGAACGAGCTGGCCTTCGTGGCCCTGTACTCGGTCGTCACCCATCCCCATTGCGATTCATCGTCGGGATAGTAGTGAAGGCAGACTGCCGCCATGGCGATTTCGTCCCTTTCCCTGGTGGCAAGGGCTTTGCCCTTCTTCCCGATCTTGGGTATCGTAAGCTTGTCTCCCACCGCCTGTCTCCAGTGTTGCAGCTGATCGTCGGTGGGCGCCACCACTTCTTCATCCGCAATAGTCCAAGGGATGTTAGGGACTGCGTCCTCCCTCCTGTCAGCGTTTATCGTACCGCGGAGGGCCTCGGTCAGCCAATCGTTCGACATAAAGCTTTCGACTGATACACTGTCGTCCAGATCGTCGACGTGGTCGTATATCTCGGCCGAGGTTGCGTCGTTCCAGTTGGCCGACGTCCAGCTTCACCCGAAACGCTTGTCCGGGTCGCACTGCTGGAAGTCCACTGCGTCGAGTATGCCGTCCCACGCCAGCCTCACCCACAGCGCGCACAGTTCGTCCGACAAGGTGTCCGTGGAAGCTGTCGACTCCCACAATCGCCGGAACACGTTCCTTAGTGTGGGATTCCTGCCGTTGGGGGAAGGGTCGATTTCGGCTTGGGTGTATAGGATTGCATCCACCCATTCCGTGGCCTCTGCCTTCGATTGTGCCCACACTTTTTTGGCCATCCTCCAGATTTTGTGTATCCAGGTTTCCACAACGGCCCTGCCTTCGTCCTCCGGCAGGAAGAGATCCAGTATCCAGTTTCTGAATGCCTCATCCTCTGCATCGGACCTTGGCACCAATTTCAACAGTTCCTCCAGCCTGATTGTGTCCGCCTCGTCTGCCGTTAGTTGGACTGCCATCCTCGCGTGTCCGTCCGAAGTCGCGTAGAAGTCGTTAGTGATGTTCCGTGTCTGGGAATCGGCCAGTCGTCTCCGTCTTCTTCAAGGATATTGTTCTTTGGATGCGAATAACGTATGCTGATATTGCTGTTGGTAGCTTGATGCGAAAACGCGGTCAGGTTGGTGGCCTCTCCTGGTTTGTGGTTGTAGTTCTGTTGATGGCTGACCTCAATTGCCCAACTTCGCAGCTGCCTTCAGGCCGGCTTCAAACCTCAATTGCACAATTGTGGGGACCGGTCCCTCTCTCTCACAACTTGCCTGTGCTGGTCCAAAGGGCAAAGTGATCGCGATGTGAGCTCGATCTCAGGCGTCGAGGTGAGCCAACTCTGAGGTGTCGCGCCGACGTGGGTTCCCGACTTGTGTCTCGTATCGGGATTGTCAGCACGGGAAATCGGGCCGGAGGCGTCAGTCTCAGCGATGCCAGGTCGTCGTCCTCCTCGTCACCTTTCAGTGTGGAGCGCTTCGTTCTCAGTGGTGGTTTTGGAAGCGAAGAGGCTTCCCGCACCGCAGCAGGCTTCGGTATTGCGGGCTTCCCTGACCTTGGTCGAGACTCGGCCGTCGTCTTCTCCGGCGGCACTCTGGCGTTGTATTCGTTGACCAGCTCTCCTGCCGTATGCGCGATGCATTTTTCTGGCTGCCATTCATCGAACTCTGGGCCGTAGCCCTTGCATCTAGCCAAGTACTCCGTGATCACTTTCCCGTTGTCTTTCCCTTGTCGACGATCCACCGGGTCCTCGAGTTCCAGGATTGCCATTCGTCGTCTGCGGTCTCCCCTTCGACTTCGACTCTGCCCGGCTTCGGCGTCTCACGTCCGAACCAACCCGTCACGGGTGCTGGTGACAGCTGAAGCACCGAAACCACCGGGTGGATTCCCTAAGACACTGGGAAGTCCAGCTTGCACGCAAGGTCGTATATCTTATCTGTTACTGTAAACGGCCACGGATCGTGGCCTTAGAAAACCACGCCTGAGCCACGTCGACCCGTATAAAGAGAGCCAGCCTCCCTTTGGATTTCCTTCCAGTTATTAAAGTCCCTTTCGGTCGTTGTGCTATTTACATTTGCTTTATTCGAAAAAAAAGTAACTTTTTTTTAAATTCATTTTTCTTGAAGTCTTTTTTTATTTATTTTTTAAATCATTTATTTTTAAATTTTTTATTTTTTATTTTTAATTTTTTAAATTTTTTATTTTTATTTTTTTAAATTTGGGTTTTAAAAGAAATATAATTTTCTTTTTTTTCTTTTTGTTAAAAAAAATCAATTTTTTTTTTTTTTTTCGATTTTCAATTTTAATTTTCTTTTTGAAAAAAATGGCGCGTTTAACTAGTAGAGGCGGGAACCGTAGCCACCCGACCGTCATCCCTCAGCATCTGGCACATGTCTCCTAGCTTACGCGTCTTCCTATATATGCCATCCTCCCCCACAACCTTCCCGTCCTTGCGCCCCGAAGCCACCGCATCCATCTCGCCAACGAGCACAAGCACCGACCTCATCCTCGTGAGGGACACGCAGAGCCTATGATCCAACGCGTTAGACAGCGAATAATTCATGCATTTAATGGCATTGTACGTACCGATTGGAGTTCGATGTGAACCCAGGACCAGTCTTCCCGTTGGTGCCGAAAATGAGGAAGACGATGTCGGCCTCGTGGCCCTGGCTGCCGTCAATGGTGCGGCACCGGTCCATCCCCTTAAGGACGTCGTACTCCGAGCGAGTCCGCAAAAGCTCGTTTACAAGCTCCACGTTGGCTTTGTACGGAGCGAGGACGGCCACGCGCCGGACCAGGTCACCAAATTGACGCTCGTGGGCACGCACGAATTTGGCCAGGACTCTGAGCGCGACGACGCACTGGTCGAGGCACTGCTTGGACTTGGTTATCTCGTCCGTAACCACCGTCGAACCTGCCACATTGATAAAGATTGGCGCGTGGCGGCCTGGTCGAGGCGGAGACAGCTTGAAGCCCGCGTGCGTTCGAACCCATTTTTCGAACACACGGCCGAGTTCCCTGTCCTCCGCATCCACGTTGCAAAGCGGCGCGTAGGTGAGAGGAATCTCCTCGTAAAAACTAAATTGATAAAATTAGCATGGATCGGCTGTGTACGGTTATACGACTAAACTTACAGCTCCTGGGCCAAGTCGAACATGCCCTTGTCCATGCGGAATTGGAACCGCTGGCGCCAGACGGGGAGGCCGTGCGCCATAAGGCGGGCGAGGGGGGATATGGCGTTCTTGGCGAACCTGTTCACATAGGTGCCATCCCCATGCTTTTCGTTGGCCGACATGACTGTCGGCAGGAGCTGTTTGTCGTCGCCCGCCAAGCAAAGGGGCCGGAGTGTGTTTCCCCACACCTGCAAAAGATCATGACTTCGTAAAGTGTTAAAATATAGCATAATAGGTAACAGGAACAGGATGAGCGACTTACACATGCATATTGGCCGCCTCGTCCATGGCCACACAGGTGCTGTACTCTCCCCAAAACCGCGTGTAGGGGCTGTTGTACTTGGTGTCACCATCCTTTGGGATGCCGACTTGAACCAAGGACGGCGTGGTAAACACCGCCGCAGCCTGGGAAACGACGATGTCGAAAAGCTTGCACATGAACCTGTAGTCGGGGGTGACTTCCTCGCCGAGGGCGTAATACTCGGACCATGTGATCTCCTTGCGCACGAGCTTGGCAAAATTGTCGCCACGGGGGTTGCCCAAAATCGCCCGCTGGATCCTGCCCACGAGGCGAGCGTCTTCCTTGGTGCTCGGGCGGACCTCCCCACTCCCCAGCGCAAGCAGGATGTAGAAGCTGGGGGTCAGCGGGAGAGCCCACCTGGAGGGACGGGCGACCTTGGGCTTGCTGGGCTCGCCAAGAAGTGACATCAAGCCAGTGTACTCTTCCTGGAGGTGGTAGCCCCGCACGACGACCAGGTTGCTTTGCTGCTTGGCCTCCTCCAGGCCCTTGTTGTACCTCGCGATAACCCGACGCGCGATTGTATCGAAGCGATCGGCGAAGTTGGAGACGGCGGCGTGCGATGGTCCCGAGCCGAAAAGCTTCATGCCCTGGGTAAACCACATGGCGAGGGAGGACACGACTAGGATGCTGGTCTTTCCGGTGCCAGGGGGCTTGATTCAAAGTTAGCATCCATGTAAATAGCATGTTGGACGGGAAAGACTTACAGCGCAGACCAGCACGAGACCGCATGGGGTTTGGGCCAGGTGGGCGGCGTAGCGCTCGCGGTCTTCCTTGATGACCTCTTCGAGAAGGCAGCTCCACAGCCTTTTATCGCCGGGCACGAAGGACAACCGAGGCAGGGCATTGACGCGGCCACCAGAGTCGGGTCGAGCCCGAAACTCGTCGAACCCACAGCCGCGAAGGAGCGCTCGCTGGACGCGCTGATTGTGCTCGAGCAGCTCCAGGTCCTGGACTGGACGCTTTGGCGGGCAGAAGGGAGCGCTAGGAAGCGTGCGCTGGCATGCATCGACCGCCCGGCGGGCCTCCTGCAACACATCGTCGAATTGTAGCGAGACACAGTTCTAATGTGTGTCGCCACGTCGAAGAGTTTGGAGCGCGGTTCTCCTGTCACCGAACATCACGGGCTGGAACTCGGTCCCGAAGTGCTTCCGCCCATCCGTTTTTGGCCGGTGAGCCAGAACGACAATCTCCCTGTCCAAGTCGATCTCTTGTACGGACGCGAATGGCTCGAGGGTGTTGGGGTGCTCAATCAGCTTGGCGTCCCATCGAGCGACGGGCTCAGAAGTGGGTCCGTCGATATCGAACGCCAAAAGGAACAAGTCGACCTGATCTTTGATGAGGCGGTCAATGGCGGGCTGGTACGTGGCATGAAACGTCTCGGGCACTTGGATGACGAAGTAGTATGTATCTCCTTCGCATCCAGCAAGCACGGACCAATCAGCGTACGCCGACAGCCGCTGCTTGGCCAGATGTTCAGCCTTGTCGACAACCCACCATATGTCCTGAACGACGACTTGGGAGATGGCTGTGCAAAAGTCTGCGTCGGTGGGATGCTGGTATGCTGGCGCGAACTGGTGGCCCCGAAGTTCTTGATCGTGGTACTGCTGGGCATAGCGGTCCTCGTCAAAGTCGAACTCGCTCCCGAAGCCATAATCGAAAGACTTCATGGGTGGCGGAACCTCCGCGACTCCATTTGGGAAATTCGTAGGCAGGCCGAACTGCCTTTCGATCTTGCAAGGGGGGCCGACAACCGCAAACTGAAACGTGTCCATGGCCATAATGTCAGACAGCCGGGACTCGGGGCGGAAAGCGAGCGGTTGGTTGTTTTCCAGCATGCCAAGCAGGTCCTCGCGATCGCAGACATTCGCAAAGGGGAGGCCGCCCCCCTCAATCGCGCAAGGGCCTGCCCTCAGCGCTATGGTGGCGATGAACACCGGCTTGTCCTGTGTTCATCATCGACTTTCAGAATTTGCCGGACGGACGCGGGAGCCTTGTCTATCGCAACACAAAACCCAGCGCTGAACCAAAGCGTAACGGTCCCATATGGTGCCAGCTTGAGGTCGTAGCTATCCGCGGGGCCAGGAATCACTGTAATGTTTCAATTAGAACACAATCGATGTCGATAATGACCAACACAAATATGCGAGTGGTAGTAAGAGTTGGAATAAATAACATACTCTCAAATGTAATGCCATGTCCGGCCTCTTCGTTGCGCAGTGTGTCGCCGCGGGGGAGCCTGATTCGGAAGCCAGTTGATGCAGTGCGGTCCTTGGGCATGCGTCGGCAGAGCTCGACTTTCACGCCCCTGATTAGGCCACACAGGATCGCCTGGAGGTCCGGTGTCATCAGGACGCATTCACACGCCTTAGACCCGTACATCCAGGGCTTTGAGCCCTTGGTCTGGCCGGGTCCTTGGCGGAGAGGGAGAGTTTGCGACATCGTGCCGGCGTATAACGCCAACGCTGCGAGCGATTGGCGAAAGGAGGAGGGGGAGAAAAAGATACCACCGCCAGCGGCGGATGGTAAAAGAGGAGCGGAGGAGGGGAGGAAAAGATACCACCGCCAGCGGCGGATGGTAAAAAGAGGAGCGGAGGAGGGGGAGGAAAAGATACCAACGCCAAAGGCGGTTGGCAAAAAGAGGAGCGGAGGGCGGACGAAACGGAACAAAAAAATAAACCAGCCGCAAAGCGGACTGGTGACGGGCGAAGACGATGGCCGCGACGTATCAAAAAAAAAAAAAAAAAATACAGCCGCAAAGCGGACTGGCGACAGGCGAAGGCGATGGTGGCGACGATGGCGGCGACGGCGGCGGCAAAACGCGGCCGGACGGTCTGTGATGGTTGTTTTGAAGAAAGGAAAAGATGGAGGACGAGGGGACGGAGGTTGCGCTCGAATATGTATGCCAGCCAAAAAAAAATAGTAGTGGGGCCAGGCTG